AATTAATCACATGTTCACCGAAGGGTAAATATGACACAGTCGCTGCACTAATTCAACAAGCAGACCCCCTTCCTAGCTTTAATAAGGCTCCGTTTCAGTTTCTGTTGGAGGAGACAAGGAAGTCGAAACAAGCATTGGTCGCTCAACACTCAAATTCTTCCCCTACAACCAACTCCACCGCTCTTGCACAGTCCGATCAGCAGCAACAGCGGGGCGGCGGTGGGCGCGGCAGTGGCAGGAACTACGGCGGATGTGGCGGCAAAGGTCGCGGCCGTGGGGGTAAATCACAAACCAATGCGTCACAACAACAGCCGCAACAAGCACAATCCGCTTGGCAAGGTCAGAATTATGGCCAACAGTAACAGTGGGCCGGTCCAGCAGCGTGGCAGCAACAGGCCCAACCTGGTCACTGGGCTTTTCCACCGTGCCCTTATCCTACCAATCCGGGTTCATTCTTTCAGCGTCCACAGGGGGGCATTTTGGGCTCTCGGCCTTCACAGCAGCAAGCATATTTTGCTCCGGCCCAGAAGCAGCAATATGGCCCACTCATGATCCTAACGGAGCTAGGCCATGCGTACAGTACCATGAGTCTTCAACAACCTAACAATGGTTGGTACATGGACACCGGCGTCACTTTTCACCTCACCGACAACTCAGAATTGAGGATTGCGCTTCTCCACTCCATTACGCTCCCGAGCATAACAACAGTACACTTGGGATACCTTCACCTTAGACTTCTTCGCCGTATGCACCTGCTTGACCAAGTGATTGTTTTTCACCATTAACTCGTGCTTCTGGTACATCGCTACATCCTTTGACTTTCCCGGAGTAACAATGTGACCTTTGTGCTCCAAATTCAGCCTTCGCACAACCCAATTCCCTTCCTCATTAACACTGGCATACAGCTCCACAGGACACCCGCACTTTTTAGTCTTCTATTTCTGAACTGTCTCCTCACCTTGCAACAACCTTTCCTTAAGTGCATCCTGTTTATGCTTCCTTGAAACGTAACCATAACAGTCACAAGTCCACTTAGCATTCCTTCTCTGCTTACAACACTTCCCCTTTTTCAATTCCTTCTTCACATCCACCCACCCAGAATCAGCCCTCACCATACCAAAACCCTTTTGCCTAGCATAACTCCAAAAATAGGTATCCAACTCATCCCAACTCTCAAATACCATGCCCAAACTTGGGGGAGATACTTCGTCTTCCGCACCAAACACAGTGTGCACCATTATCATGTACTTCTTTGGGGTTATGAATGAGGAACCTTCTACACTAGCCCCATCAAATTCCCCTTCAACACCAGGCTCAACTTCATCTTCCTCATAATCTGCCCCCTTATCCTCAACCTCAAACCCTCCCCCCTCTTCATCCTCTTGCACCTCACCTTCTTTTAATCCATCATCACTCACTAATCCCACACTCTCTAATCCCGCCTCATAAATAGATACGTCATTCGCCCCACCATCTTCATATCCATCACCAACATCCACCTAATTCACATACACAACCATGACTCATTGAAAATACAACATTACAACAACAACCAATAACCAATAACCAAAAACATACACAACAACACCAAACCCAACAAACGATATGATCACATAATTCATAACAAAACTTTTTTTTTACCTTCTTTCACAGCAATTGGTTCGATAAACTACAAGCTCAAAGCTTTTTTTTTGTACAATTTTCCACACAAACAGGTTCGACAATAACTCAAACAATTAGCTGCAACTCATTCTTCACTCCATTCCCATTCTAAAACCAACACATTCCCAAACAATTATAATATTAAAAAATTTTCATCAACTCAACTACAACACCCATTTTATCAAATAACAATGAACAATCAACATTCATATCAAAGATTATGGCAATTTAACATTACCAATTACCCATTTACTTACTCAATTACATGGATTGAAATTCATATCAAATTGACAACAAAGGGTCCTAACCATAACAAAGGGTCTTTACCCTAACAACTTCATCATCTAATTAAAAGAGCCTACATTTCATAATTACCCAATTCATACACTCATTTATAACCCTCAATTTTCAACTCCTTCATCTTCAACTCCTTCCTCCACCTTTACTTCCTCATAATCTGACCCCCATTCCCTTCCATCATCTTCTGATCCCTGTTCATTCTCCTCCTCATCTCCTTCTCCATACCCATGCTTACTCTCAAATCCCTCCTCATTACCACATACATCATCCTCACCACCAACACCCCCTATAACAATGACACAGCCATAAAACAATCATACACACAACACCACCTGCACAACTAAAAAAGTACAATATATACATTATACATAACATCATTTTCATAGCTACTGAAACCATCATACCAATGAACAACCATTTTCCAAGTATCAATTTCAAAATTTAAAGACAACCCTCAGTATTAATTTCAACCTACTCCAAATTCCAACATACACAACACGGATTAACCACACTCACCTCAATTAATCAAGTTACAATCAACAATCTAACAATACCAACAACAATTGCTCAAATAATTACTTACATTTAAATTGTATGCCAACTTATTTAAGCACTAACACAATCACTATCAACAACAACTATAAATTGAAACGATACCAATAATTGAAAGACACCAAAAAACCCTAACTTTTCAGCTAATTCAATTTTATTCACTCCTCTAATTCGTGCATTACTAACTGTTAACTCAAACAAATACCTCATACACAACAGAACGACCTCATAGGGGTTTTGAACACTTACATTCTCATTATCAAACCGCAACTCCCTTGCGCAACCATGACCTTCTTCACCACCTTCATGCAATGCTTCCGCTAAATCAACTCCCAATATATCAGCAGCTAATCGATTTCGCATTGTCAAAATGTAGTTCGGATTCACAATTAAGTGCTAACCATCTCTAAACAACTGCATCACACTTTTCCATTTTCAAAATTAATACCAATTTAAAGACTAAACCCTAAAAATTAAGTTCAAATCTATCTTCAAACTGAATAATTACAATAATGCATGTAAGAAACTTACATTTTCACAATCAAATCGCAGCTCCTAGCGTAGCCATGTCTATCTTCTCCACCGTCACCAAGTGCTTCGGCTAAATCCACGCCAAGAATGTCAGCTAACCTCGTTCTCATCCTCTTACGACATTTGAGTGGTTTTAGTGCACCTGGAAAAGGATTTCAATGCCTTCAATTTAATTTCGCTCCATTCGCCATTGAACAGTAACACTTTGCTTTGGGAAGAAAGAGGAATGAAAGAAGAAAGTTGCTTTGTCAAACTTAATTCTGGTTTCCCGCTTAGATTTTGGTTTCCCCGTTTTCACTATCTTTGCCCCGTTATTTTTTATACTAGCTGGCACCTTGTCCCCACACAACTTCAACCTATTTACAAAGAATGTCATCCTATATGCATTCCTTGAAATAGGTCCTATACGACAATAGTTTCCGCATATAGATTAGTCTGCTATAAGAGGGTAAAACACTGAGTTTCTTTCTATTTCTACCTTAACCGTGGATGATGACATACATTTATGTACGTAGTAGGGGTGTTAAAAAAAACCCGACCCGGTTGTCCCGTCCCGATTTCCCAACGACCCACAAAAAACCCGACAGGAAATTTTTAAAATTTTCTGTTTTTTGCGGGTCGGGTATCCGTCCCGGTAAAATAACACTTTCGTGGGCCGGGACATGGGACAAGCTTTGCAACTATCGGGTACCCGTTTAAAAAAAAAATAAAAAATTATCAGTACTGATCAGTACCCGATTTGATGCATCTTACTTTTGCTTTGGACTAGAATTAGCCTTTTCGAGGACAAAGCAAAGTACCGATCAGCAATTTAAACACCTGAGTTAGCTAAATGTCTCTATAAACTTAGTATATGCATTATCAGTGCTTTTACACTAAAGGATAACAAATTTTACGTTGCATCTGCAACTTCCGCAACACATGAAATGTCCTGACCTTTTACGCAGGATATTCCAAACAATGTTCTTAACACCAACAACGATTTTAAAACTAGGATAATCAACAATGAAAAAAGTGGATCAATATATTAGCTCAAATGTTTATAAGACTGCCAATTGCCTTCATTTTAGAATTGGAGGCTTCTGCTAAAGCAGGATAAGATGAAAGGCGAATCGGCCTATATTATGGCGTGTTGAGATTGTCAGACTAATCATGGGATGCAATGGTAACTCCCGTCTTAGGTCAGTCAGAAACAGGCAAACACATTAGAATTTGATATCAAATCCTTCATCTTAGTCCTTCTGTGTTGGAATCTTGCACTTGAACAACTTAATACTTCGTCAGAGAAGTCTTAGACATCATGAAATAGCTAATAGATTGACAAGCTCTAGAAATGAAGGTTTCAAAGGAGTTGTGTATATAATCTATGGACATCAAATCCTTCATTTTATTCCTATTGTGTTGGAACCTTGCACTTGAATTCCTTTCAAATGGTTTTTTTTTTTATAAAATTACAACAGTTTTTTTAAAAAAAAAATTACAGCAGGTTTTATTTTTAAAAGTACAGCAGTGTTTTTTTTAAAAATTGCAGCAGTTTTTTTTTTTGTAAAAAAATACAGATTTTAGGTATAAATTTATTTTAAAAAAATAAGTAAATAGAATCCGGGTACCCGAATTATCCGTGACGGGACATGGGCCGACTTATCAACTACCCGAAGATCCGGATACCCGGATATGAACACCCCTAGTACGTAGTACTTTTTTTTCTTTTCTTTTTTTTGGGTGAGAGGAACATACATTTATGTACTTAATGTCTTAATTAATTTGTCTATTACATAAATGACCTTAAATTGTACTCATGTACAGCCTGTTTACTTGTCTCACGCTAATACAGGTTGCTGCTACTGTTTTGTGAATTAATTTAAGCCTTTAATTAATTGATATAATTGCATCAGCAGGGTTAAATGTTCGAAGTTGTTAGAACTTAATATAACTATATAAGCTGTCAAAAAAAATTGAGAAAAAAAACACCTTAATGGGTGTTTACAGTCTTCATTTCTTCATGAATTTTAATTGCAGCAAAATGGAACTGCAGAAAGAAATCTGACAAAAATTCGATCTTGTTTGAAATTTAAAAAATTAACAAATGACTAACTCTAATTCATTGAAACAAATACCAGACTGTTGCATAATCTACCATCAAAGGAGTAGCACCAGAAACAAGTGGATGTGCTGATGAGGAGGTTGTGGTGCCAGCAGTACTGCTGCCTTTTAACCCAGGGGAGGAAGCGGCTCTACATATGTTGGCGGAGTGCTATAGGTGGGAGCCGAGAGGCTGGTAAGCAAGATAGACAAAGAAGACTCCTTGTTAAGAACATTTATAACCTTTCTTACAGTAGGACGTAAAGTGTCTTCAGGATGGCAACACGACAACCCAACAATCATCAAGCATTCCATTTCTTGAATGTCAAATGCTCCTTCGAGTGTTTGATCAGCTGCATCAAGAAGACGGCCTTCTCCATAGAGCTGCCACACCCACTCAATCAGACTCCGGTTAGTAGGCTCTTCTGGTTCAATAGCCCTTCTTCCACATGCAATTTCAAGGGCCACCACCCCAAAACTGTAGACATCAGATTCTCTGCTGGATTTTCCAGTCATAACACACTCTGGTGCTAGGTAGCCTAAAGTGCCAGCCAATACAGTTGTTTGTGCTCCTAGACTGTGGTCTACGAGCCTAGCAAGCCCAAAATCTCCAAGCTTAGCATTGAAATTAGAATCAAGCATGACATTGCTAGACTTGATATCTCTATGCAGCACACATTGCTCCCATTCTTCGTGGAGGTATAGCAAGGCGGATGCCAAGCCATATGCAATTTTGTACCTGTCTGCCCATGGTAAGACCGTCGTCCTCTTGCCTGCAAAAATATGGGAGTCAAGACTTCCATTAGGCATAAATTCATAAACAAGAAGCAATTCCTTTTTCTCATGGCACCAACCAAGAAGTTGAACCAAATTTTTATGCCTTAGACGACTGATAACCTTCACCTCTGATACATACTCCTTTTCCCCTTGTTTAGATCCCTTTGATATCTTCTTGACTGCAATAATCCGACTTAGATCAAACAAAAAACCTTTATACACGCCTCCAAAACCTCCCTGTCCTAACTTCCCTTCCTCGAGAAAGTTGCTAGTAGCACGAATAAGTTCATTGTAAGTGAACCTCCTTGGCCCAGTATCCTGATCAAAATTCATGTTGTCGTTTTTTCCCCTTGATCTCCTCCGCCCCCACATAAACACAACTGAGCCTAATCCAGTTATTAAGACACTAATTCCAGCTACAATGCCACCAATCATTGCTGCTTTGCTATTACTCTGGCTGCTTGTCGCAGTTGTGTGATTTTGCCATGGTACACTGATATATGTATCTTCTAAGGTTGAGTTGAAGTCCCAAGAAAGGATGCTATGAAGTTCAACATTTGCACCAGTTGAAGCCGTGAACCCAACTCTGACTGTTTCCGGAAGAATGGAGCTTAAGTCAATGATATGCGAAAGGCTAGATTCCCCGTTATACACAGGATGATCATCATAAGTTAAGAAAACACTCAGATTCTTAGTTACAGAATTATAAGTTATCCAAGAATTTGCTGTAGACCTGTTTCTCAGGCCCCCATCCACTGTAATATTAACCTCAGAAACTACAGAAGTATCATCAATACCCAAATGATCACCAATCGGATCAAACCAATTCTTGAAGGTGTCAAATTCGACAGCAACAAATCGATATTTACTGGTAACATTGACAGCCACAACCAAACCAAGACACCTACCAAATGAATTCTCTGGAGCATACTCTGTAGAATCATCAAAAGGCGCTATGAAAAAAGTCATACCATCACCAAAATAAATAGTACTGTCTGCTGAATTGATTTGGAATGAAAAGTGGGTGGTAAAGTCTGTTTTCTTGCTGGTTTCTTTATCCCAGAGACGAACAGGCTGATTATAGGATGCTCGTCCTGCACTTGCTTGAAGATTAGAACCCGATGTGCTCTTCGTCAACTGAATCACCCCATCTTCAATATGTGAATCATTCTTGTAGGTAATATTTCGAAAACTATCTTGGTCGAAACTAGAGAAGTTGAAGAAAATTGATTCGACATGGTTTAGGAAAAAAACCAAGGAAACAAAAAATTGAAACACAAACTTTATACTATAACAGTGAATTATTGAACCTCTCATTTCCAAATTTCTTAACTATGCAGAAAGACGGGGCTAAAATTTTAGAGAGAAGAATTACAAGGTTGCATTGCAAAAATTTGTACCATTTATAAGGTGAACAAAGCTTAATTCTACTACTAAACTCTGGCTAATTAATGTAATCAACATTAATGTAAGTTACTAGTAATTTCCCCAGCTGCAACATATTGAGTATTGACCACGGTCAATTCGTTTATATTTTAACAAATAGTCTTCATTATGGGTCATACAAATTATAAATCAGCAAAAAAGGACAATAATGCAGTATAATGACCTGAGCACTTGCCAAGTTGATGACTTAAAGTACTCTAATAATTCTATGCTATAATTAAAGCACAGACATATATTGTGGAAAATGAATGCTCCCTTCTCCTTTAAGAACACGGTCCTGTAATCTCTTTTGGTCCAATTTAGACCCTCCTATCAAAAGTCCTGGAAACAACTATTCAAGATGGCAATACATAGCATGTCCCAAGTCAATGGAAAATCAGTTTTCTCTCCATAAAGGAAAAAAGTACGTTCAACTCGGGAGCAAAGGTGCAAAGAGTGAAAGACGTATATGCATATACTTTCTCCATTCACAAATACTGCACGTACTAATGCAAAATTGGCTAATGCCTTATTTTGCCTACTAAAAAATACCTTGATTTGCATAACACACGTCAAATAAGGCATTGCCGATTTTTTTTTTCAATTCTAGCCTTTTCAAAGGACCAAAATAACCCCTAATACATCTTAAGATCATGTTTCTGACTCGGATATCAAAGAAAATTCAAAAAGTCTTTATATTTGACGGTCCTATTGACGGTAGATGGTGAATATCAATTTTAAGAATTTTTTTTTAGTGGTTAATAAAACTGTTATTAGAAGTTGGTGGTAATAAATAATTTCGTATTTTTTTTTAGGTATAATTCAAAATTTCCTAATTTATAAGATGCAAAACTTTCCACTATGTCAAGACTTGCTTGGCATATGGGTATGTATAGTTTTATTTTATATAATAAGACGTAAGTGAAGTAGTTATGGTATAAAAAATTAATAAGAAAATATATTAAACTTAATATAATATTAGTTTGTAAAATATTTTTAAAAAATAATTAAAAGTCAAGACTTGTGAGGAGAGAAATATTCCAAAAGTTAAAAATATAACACTTAAAACAACTTATTAAGAAAAAGTGTAACACTATAAAAAAAAAACAAGGGGAGTAACATTTACTCGATAGTTGCCTTTTTCTTTTTCTGGTGATTACCGAGTAAATTTTATTTAAAAGCAAGAGAGATGAGAGATTTATTTAAAAGCAAGAGAGATGAGAGATTTATTTCAAAAAAGAGAGAAGAGAGATGTTATTAAAATAATAATTTAAATTTAATATTATTATAGGAGAGAGAAATAATTTTTCAAAAATATAAGTAAACACTTAAAAAACAGTTGATTAAGAAAAAAAAATTCCTCCATTTTTTTTAAATGCATCACTTTCTTTTTATATGCGTTTTTTTTAAATGCATCACTTTTTTATTTGGTAACTTTATATTATATTTTATCATTTCTCTCCCTTACTTTAAACCCCACTTAAATTATTTTATCATTTCTCTCTCAGCTCCTTCATGGTTCCCACTTATATAATAAAAATATTTATTGTCCATCACATTCTTGGTCCCCATTTAACTTTTACTATAATAAATTATTCAGCCACTCACAATATTATATTACTGTCCTAAAACTCCGCGCATCACCAAGTGATACAAATTAAAAAAAAAACGGAGGGAGTATAACACTAAAAAAATGATGGTGCCCAAGTTAATCTCTGATATTAACATTTCAGTTTATCTCCTCTCACACCTTTTTGCATTTTGTTTTGTGCCACTTTATTATTTCACTTTTATAATTTATAAAATAAAAGAAAAACATTGTATTGTGAAAGGAGATATATTTACCTATTTATCTCAGAGATAAACTTGGATTTTCCCTAAAAAAAAATGGGGAAATGTCACTTACTCTGTAATTGCCTTTTATTCCTGTGATTACTGATTTACAATTAATAATCTTCATAATCACTTAGGTACCAAACTAGGCTTAGCTTAATTGCAAGGAATAGGTCTAATTGCATGTCTTTGGTCATGAGATCAAACTCAACTAGGAGTCAAGAAATAGGAATTCTCTTTTTATTTCTTCTATCTCAGTCCGATGAGTCTAATTTTAAAAGGTAATGAGGTCTTAGGTACGACATATTGTGTTATAATAACATTTTTTTACGGATACATATTATAGTTATATTAAATATACTCAAGTGGTTAGAGAGTTAGAGTTTCCCTCTCAATTCCAGGATGTAACACCCTAATAATTCTCTCTTTAAACCTGAAATTTCTTTACTAAAATCCAAGAGAATTACTGATATATGTGCTACCGTCACGCGTTGAAACGTTAAGGCTAATTCAAAATTTAACAGCGAAAAAAACTAACTCAGTTATAAATAAGTTTCAAAATCAAAGAGCAAAACCTAAGTTAAGTCTTACAAGTTGGAACCATTAAGGCCCTTATTCAAATCCCAACAAAAGTAGTAAATAAATCAAACCAGAGTTTAAATGAATTCAAGCTTATGAAATGAAATAAATTCCGAACAATAACCAACTCTCCACTCAAAATCCCACCACCTGATGCAAGTCCAAACTATGTGAACACCTATGATAAGTTTGCTCCCCAATATTTCAAGTGTAAAGATTGGATCATTACAGGGTCATTGATGAGCGAAGGACATGACCAAGAAAAAGACACACAAAAAGACGCAATTAGCAACGTTGAGTACATACAGGCTACGAAGTATAACAAAGAATTCCTAGCATGCTACTAATAATCAATCAACACACACAATTTAATTATTGACTCAAACACATGCCTCAATTGTTAACATTACTAAGACTTCACTAATTAATAATAAATCATTCATTTCATTTTTATTCATTGGATTAAGCAATAGACAAGGTTGTCTCCTCATGCTCCAATTTGGAACATCAATTAAAGAAAAACCCTATGCCTCCTTTCGAAAACATCAATAAACATCCAATGACAGACGGGCGCGACTCCGTGGCCATAGCTAGTTTGAGATCTCATCCAATGACAGACGGGCGCGACTCAGTTACTGTAAAATTTGCTTTTGAATATACAGAATTGACATTTATTCCTACATGATCATTACTCGGATCCCATGAAAAACCTGGATCCCATTTATTGTGGTAGCTATCAAACTCGACAGCAACAAAGGGGTATGTACTCGTAACATTGCAAGATTTACTAGCACCACCTATCAAACCAAGACACCCACCAGATGACTCCTCTGGAGCATCAGCTGAAACATAGAACGGTGCTAGAAAAAAGGCGAGTCCATCACCGTAGTAGTTAGGATTCTTATCCGCCTGTGTAATGTTAAAAGAGAAGTGGGTGGTAAAGTTTGTTGTCTTGTTTGTGCTTTTATCCCAAAGGCGCACAGCCTGTTTGTAGGATGCCCGTCCTACACTGCCATGGAGACTGCCATCTATTCTATTGGCAGTCAGTTGAATCGCCTTATTTGTAAGAGTTGTATCGTTCCCTAAGATAATTTTTTGAGTGTTTTGGTTAAAAGTAGGGAAGCTAAAGCTCAATGATTGTACATTTGAGACAATAAAAAACAGCAAAATAAACATATGAAAGATATTACAAGTCTTTTGGATGAAGTATAATGACGAACTGACGCTGCAAATTGATACCCTCATTTCTGTAGATTGGAATACAGAGCAAAAGCAACAATAGAAAGAAGAAAGGCAAATAAAATTTACAGGTTGGAATACAAAGCTTGGCTCAAATTCACTATATTCAGTTTTAGGTCTTGCTCGGTGTGAGTTTGTAAGGTGAGGTTAAGGAAGCTTCGTTGCTGAAGTCTTCTGTGAGAGTTGGGAACAAGTTCCTAATTTGTGGAACTTGTTAACGGGTTTGAATCTTCACTTGTAAAGAGTTTTGATTACATAGTGGAAATTTAGAAAAGCCTATATCTTCTCTCGTCATTATTTCATTTAGTTAAATTCCGCAAAAAGTTTTTAGATTTCACCTCAAATACAATTCACCCCCCCTCTTGTATTAGCCAGTTAGACTTTCAGTTGGTATCAGAGCAGGAACTCAGAACACGCAGGCAACCCTGTTGAGTAAGTTCCTGGAAAATGGCTTACACAGAGGAAAAGGAATTCGGGAGTACATCCATTCAAAGGCCTCCATACTTCAACGGCAAATTTTATCCTTATTGGAAGGATAAGATGGAAATCTTTATCCAAGCAGAGAATTATCAGGTATGGCGAATTATACAAGTAGGAGATTACGAAATTACGAAAACGAATGCTAATAATGAGGTAATCCCTAAACCTATGGATGAGTATGAAAAAACTGATTTTGAAAAACTTGAAATGAATGCTACTGCCAAAAAGTTTTTAATTTGGGGACTTGGACCCGATGAACATACTCGTGTCAAAGGGTGCAAGTCCGCAAAGGAAATTTGGGATCTTCTGGAAGTTACACATGAAGGAACGTCAGATGTTAAACGTTCCAAAATAGACATTCTTTTATCTCAGTATGAGCGCTTTGAAATGGGAAATAAAGAATCCATTAAAGACATGTTTACTCGATTTAAAAGTATTACTAACGAACTAACGTGTCTTGGTAAGATAATTCCTATAGATGAGCAGGTCAGAAAGGTCTTAAGAAGTCTTCCAGACAATGACAGATGGAGAGCAAAGGTTGCAGCTGTGCAGGAATCAAAAGACTTCACCAAGTTTAATCTGGAACAGCTTGCGGGTTCCCTCATTACCCACGAGATCCAGTCGAACAATCGGACTCAGGAGACTGTCAAAAGTCAAGGGCTAGCACTAAGAGCCAATGAAGAATCCGAAGAGAAGTCCGACATTGATGAAGAAGAAGCTGCAATGTTGGTGAGAAGGTTGAAAAAATTCTACCGTAACAACAAGTTTTTAGACAAGAAGAAAGGATACAGTAAAAGAAATCAGGAATCCAAAGTCAAGTCTTCTTGTCACAAATGTGGAAGCACCAACCACTTCATCAAAGAGTGTCCATTATGGGAATCTGAGAAAGGCAAGGGAAAAGAAGCTGATCAAAGCAGAAATTCCAAGCCTAACTTTTCTAAAACAAATTTCAGGAAAGCAATGATTTCCACGTGGGGAGAATCAAGTTCCGAAGAAGAGGAACAGGAACACACAGACGATGAAGTAGCCAATCTCTGTCTAATGGCAAAGCATGATGATGAGGTAGTCATTCAACCTAATTATTTGAAATCTCTCTCAAAGGATAAATTAATCTCTTTATTGTTAGAAACCTTAGATGAATATAAAGAATTATGTGCAAAACTAAGGCAAGCCGAAAAGGCAACTGGAATTTGTAGAGATCATGTTAAGTATCTGAATAGCTTAAGAAATGATGTTCAAGGCAGATTCTTTGAATTGTTAGATAAAAATATTATGCTAAAAGAATCCCTTGAAAGAGTCAAGAGTGAGAATATCATGCTGAATATTGAATTGACTCAATATAAAATGTTGTGTACTAACATTGATTCTTGCAGGTCTACTGAAGTTCCTTTAATCATGTTTAATAATGAACTAGAGCATGTTAAGAAAGAGATAAAGGAAACCAATGATAAAAATGAGAAACTAGAAAAGGACCTAGAAATTGCAAGAAAAAGTAAAAATACAGCAAGCACGGGTGTTCCCAAGTGGGTAAAGGAAGCTCAGACAAAAAGAACAGAAGGTCTAGGCTATGTTCATAAGAAGAAGTCCACTGGAAAGAAAAAGAAATATGTGAACTTACCTAGTGAGACCGTTTGTTCTTTTTGTGGTAAAAAGGAACATCGCAGTGAAGAATGTACTAAGAAAGCAAATCTGTACAATAAGAATGTGAACTACATAATTTTCTTTGCAATCACACCATCTCTATCTCCTCCTTCCCTATTTTCACTTTCATTTTTCTTAGTTTGACTTTTATTATTCTAGCAATACATCTCCTCCAATACAAGCATGCCTTTAACCAAATAATATCTATAATTCAGCTGCAGTTTTTGACTACGTCAAACACAAGTTAAGAACACGGTCAATTCGTTTATATTTTAACAAATAGTCTTCATGGGTCATACAAATTATAAATCAGCAAAAAAGGACAATAATGCAGTATAATGACCTGAGCACTTGCCAAGTTGATGACTTCTAATAATTCTATGCAATAATTAAAGCACAGATGCCGACATATATTGTGGAAAATGAATGCTCCCTTCGCCTTTAAGAACATGGTCCTGTAATCTCTTTTGGTCAAATTTAGACCCTCCTATCAAAAGTCCTGGAAACAACTATTCAAGATGGCAATACATAGCATGAGGGACGTTTCCCCAAAGTGAGCCAAAACCAAAATCTATTTACGAAATTGGTTGCGTGGTAAAACTATTTACCAAATTAAGCTTTCAGGGTACAACGCTGTCTCGGACAGCGTTTATGCCCTGGTTTTTTAAAAAAAAAAAATCATTTGGTAAACGTTGTGTGGGGCAGCGTTTTACGTACAAAATTTTTGTTGCACATAAAACGCTGTCTGATACAGTGTTTTATGTACAATTTATTTTGAACGTAAAACGCTGCCCCAGATAGCGTTTTTCTGCTGGACTGCATCATCAGCAGTCAGCAGGCTGTCTTCTCTAATATCTGCCCCATTCCACATTTCTGTCCCCAACAAGCCACCCCCAACCTTCAGTAAGCCACCACCCTCAAACTTTATAAGGGGATGGAATACATATGTAAATTCCAATTTCCCTTCTAGAGGCCTTTTTTTGACTTTTTACCCAGCCAAACCCCCGTAAGGAGTTTGGACAGTATAGATCTCGTCGAAACACCCAATTTGAAAAAAAAAAAATCGTCTCGATCGGACACCTGGAGACAAAGTTACGGGTCCCCAAAGTTTAAGGGTAATATCTCTCAACCCGGGCATCGGGGGACCTATCCGAGTAGACGCTTGCGTAGTGCTCTTGGAGATAAGGTGTTTCAAAAAAAAAAATCGCCCCAATCGGACCCCGGTGCTAGGATTTATGCCCTTCCGAGTTTACCATATCCTCGGGATTCTACTCAAAAGTAGGGAATAATGCGATTTTTACTCTCGAAAATGATGTATTATCGTAGATCTTAATTTTTCGTATGAAAACGAGTATTCACTTGACCCGAGGGGTTTTGTATTTTGTATTTTATGACAATTTAAAACTTTCGTTTTACTTATTTCTTACAAACCGCAATTCTCCTTTGTGATGTTATAAAGCTATATAGTATTTATCTGCACTAACTATTCCATAGTTGCGCTTGGCTCAGATGGTTGGTATATGTACATGTCATTTCATATATGTACATCACAGGTTCGATCCCCATGTATGACTTGTTTTTCTTTAATTTTTTTTTTTTTTTTTTTTTTTTTTTTTTTTTTTTTTTTTAAATTGTACATAAAAAGCTGCCTCATACAGTGTTTGACGCTTTTTTTTTTAGCGTTTTAAAAAATTGAATTTTTTTTTAAACCAGGGCATAAACGCTGTCCGAGACAGCGATTTACCTATAAAAAATCCAGGGATAAAACGCTGTCCGAGACAGCATTTTACCCTCGAAGCTTAGTTTGGTAAATAGTTTTGCCACGCATCCAAAGTGGTAAATATTTTGCCAATTTGGCTCAATTTGGAGAAAAAGCCTAGCATGAGCCAAGTCAATGGAAAATCAGTTTCCTCTCCATAAAGAAAAAAAGTACAACTCGTGAGCAAAGGTGCAAAGAGTGAAAGACGTATATGCATATACTTTCTCCATTCACAAATACTGCACGTACTAATGCAAAATTGGCTAATGCCTTATTTTACCTACTAAAAAATACCTCGATTTGCGTAACACACGCTAAATAAGGCATTGCAGATTTTTTTTTTCAATTCTAGCCTTTTCAAAGGACCAAAATAACCCCTAAAACATCTGAAGATCATGTTTCTGACTCGGATATCAAAGAAAATTCAAAAAGTCTTTATATTTGACGGTCCTATTGACGGCAGATGGTGAATAACAATTTTAAGAATTTTATTTTTAAGTGGTTAGTAAAACTGTTATTAGAAGTTTTGGTGGTAAAAAACAATTTCGTATTTTTTTTTAGGTATAATTCAAAATTTCCTAATTTATAAAATGCAAAACTTTCCACTATGTCAAGGCTTGCTTGGCATATGGGTATGTATAGTTTTATTTTATATAATAAGACGTAAGTAAAGTAGTTATGGTATAAAAAATTGATAAGAAAATATATTAAACTTAATATAATATTAGTTTGTAAAATATTTTTAAAAAATAATTAAAATTCAAGACTAGTGAGGAGAGAAATATTCCAAAAAATAAAAATATAACACTTAAAACGGTTGATTAAGAAAAAGAGTAACACTATAAAAAAAAAAACAAGGGGAGTAACATTTACTCGATAGTTGCCTTTTTCTTTTTCTGGTGATTGCCGAGTAAATTTTATTTAAAAGCAAGAGAGATGAGAGATTTATTTCAAAAAAGAGAGATGAGAGATGTTATTAAAATAATAATTAAAATTTAATATTATTGTAGGAGAGAGATAAATAATATTTCAAAAATATAAGTACAACACTTAAAAAAAACAGTTGATTAAGAAAAAATATTCCCTCCGTTTTTTTTCTTAAATGCATCACTTTCCTTTTATGGGCGTTTATTTTTAAATGCATCACTTCCTTATTTGGTAACTTTATACTATATTTTATCATTTCTCTCTCTTACTTTAAACACCACTTAAATTATTTTATCATTTCTCTCTCCTTCATGGTCCCCACCTATATAATAAAAATATTTACTGTCCCTCACATTCTTGGTCCCCATCTAACTTTTACTATAATAAATTATTCAGCCACTCACAGTATTATATTACTGTCCCAAAACTCCGCGCATCAC